AATGGTAGAGCACTTGCCAAGGACATGTGAGGCACTGTGTTCGATCCTCAGAACCACATAAAAATAAATAAATAAAATAGAGTTACTGCGTTCATTTATTTCTTAGTTTTCGGTGGACACAACATTGTTATTTTTATTTTTATGTGGTACTGAGGATAGAACCCAGCTCCCTACGCATGCCAGGAGAGCTCGTTACCACTTGAGCCACACCCCCAGCCCCCAACAGCTTGTTTTAAATGTAAAATCAATTATTTTTGCAATTACAACAAATTTTGCAATCACATATAGGAAAAAATAACAGCTTTCTTTGATGTCTATRTATAGCTGATGATATGGGATAAAGGAAGAAAACTAATGGAGTTTTAATCTACTACTAAAAATATAAACCATAAAAATTAAGTTCTTAAAAATTATAGGTAAAACCTAAAAAGACTCAATAAGTTAAAATGCTCTTCAGCGGTTCGAGATTTCCATTTACTTTAGCAGTAGAAATCMTAAATAGATCTCATCCTAAAGCCCAACAGACAATACTTGATAAGCCTATTATTGAAAAAAAGCTCTCTTAAAAGCAATTTTGCTTTAAGAATTAATTGTGCACTATCACATCATTTCAAAGGTGCTTGAGGATGGATCTACAAAGATTTATTGTCACGAATCCTCATAAAATCAGTAAACCAGCAGCTGCCTTGCAGGAAGCTCTGAGAAGCTCATCACCTCCTCTCTACAAGGTAACTGAAAATGGTTTAACAGTCAGGCATGGTGGTGCATGCCTATAATCCCAGCAGCTCAGGAGACTGTGGCAGGAAGAAAAAAATTCAAGGCAAGCCTCACCAACTAAGGGGGGCCCTAAGCAACTTAGTGAGATGAAAGGAAAAAAAGAAAGGAAAGAAAGAAAGGAAAGAAAGTAAGAAGGAAGGAAGGACGAAAGGAAAGAAAGAACGAGCGAGCTATGTATGTATTTGCAAAGGGCGATGATAAGTACACTCAGCTTTGGTTCAAGGGCAAAAGCATCACTCCTGAGAATTTATTATCACAGGCTAGTCCTCAACTAGGTTAGGGGACAAATTTACACTTGCCTGATGGTCCAAGAAATCTCCAGCCAATAAAATTTAGAGACGTAAAAAGCTGGAAAACTCCTGAGGACTCAGGAGACCTATCCATGAACCTTTTCTAAAAGAACAAACCTTTAACTGAGGTTTGTTATTGTTACTAAAATGAGATTCACAATTTAAAAAATCTAAAATCCATGAGAAAAATAGCCACCATGAATAAAAAATAACACAACTAACCCCCTACCTACTCAGATGTTGGAACAGGTTTAATGATTCAAGAAATAAAGAACAGGGATGGGCATATAGCTCAGTTGGTAGAGTGCTTGCCTTACATGCACAAGGCCCTGGGTTCAATCCCCAGCACCACAAAAACAAAAACAAAAAAAAGAAATAAAGAACAAAAACAAACATGAATACAACAGGGCATGGTGGTGCACACGTGTAATCCCAGCAGCTAAGGAGGCTGAGGCAGGAGGATTACAAGTTCAAAGCCATCCTCAGCAAAACCAAGGTGCTAAGCAACTCAGTGAGATTCTGCCTCTAAATAAAATACAAGTTAGGCTGGGAATGTGGCTCAGTGATCTGGAGTTCAATCCCAGGTACAAAAAAAAAAAACATGAATACAGAATACAAGACTATGAAAAGAGAGGCTGGGGCTGTAGCTCAGTGGTACAGCACTTGCCTCGCATGTGTGAGGCACTGGATTCGATCCTCAGCACCACCACCTAAAAATAAACAAAGACATTGTGTCCATCTACAACTAAAAAAATTAATTTAAAAAAAGACTATGAAAACAACTATATAGAATTGAAAATTTTATCATTAAAACTGAAAAYGTGGRYGAGGATGTGGCTCAGTGGTAGAGTGCTTGCATAGCAAACGTGATGCCCTGGGTTTGATCCTCACACCACATAAAAATAAAATAACGATATTGCATCCAACTACAACTAAAAAATAAACGTTTTTTAAAAACTGAAAATTTAATGAGCAGTTTAAACAGATTACATAATAGCTGAACAAAGAATTAGTGACCATGAAGAATTACATATAATGAACCAAAGGAAGATAAATACAGAAAATAAGGATGGTTAAGTGACCATGCACAGAGCAAGTAAGAGAATGGAGGTGAAATGATATTCAAAAAGATAATAGAAGAAAAATTTCTAGAACAAAGGAAAAAAACAAAACCCCCACTCATTCTCAGATTCAAAAACAGTAAATTACAAGTAGGAAAAATAAATAGTAAAACTCTAGACATTAAAAACAAAAGGAAGGTATTAAACTGAGGGGGAAAAAMTGGAATGGCAGAGCCGGGTACGGTGGCGCATGCCTGTAATTCCAGCGGCTTGGGAGACTGAGGCAGGAGAATCCTAAGTTCAAAGCCAGCTTCAGCAACTTAGTGAGGCACTTAGCAACTCAGCAAGACACTGTCTCTTAAAAAAAAGRAAAAAAAAAAAAGGCTGGGAATGTAGCTCTCCTGAGTTCAATCTTTAGTAGCAAAAAAGAAAAAAAAGAGGGAATGACAGGAATACAGACATCTGATTCATATTGCTAAAGTGTTTAAACAAAGTCAATTGTCTAGAACTACATAACTAGCAGAATTGTCTTTTAAGAACAAAGGCAAAACAAAGGCATTATCAGGTGAATAGAAACTAGTGGAATTTCTAAAGAATATTTCAAGAAGAAAGAAAATTGTTTCAGAAGAGAGATGTCAGATGCAAAAATAAATGGGGAACAAAAAAAATAAGCAATTCAGTGAGACCCTGTCTCTAAATAAAGCACAAAATAGGGCTGATGTGGCTCTGTGGTCTGAATGGCCCTGAGTTCAATCCCCGGTACCCCTACCCCCAAAACAGGCAGGGGAGCATACAATATGGGGAGAATAACACAAAATGAGATGGTACAAAATAACCTAAATACATAAAAAATAATCATAAATATAAAATGAATAATTACTAACTCTTTCTGAGGTTAAGGGAAAGACTTACCAATCAATTTTACGAATAACAGACAACAGAAAAGGAAAATATATAGCCAGTTTCACACTGAATAGATAAAAACTTACATAATGAGTAAACTAACTACAGTAATGTATCAAAGATGAATACACCACATCTAGAAGAATTTAAAGTTAATTTTGTGGTATAAAATCTATGAGTATAATGTATCACATTAAAGGACAAAAGAGATGATCATTCTGTCAAGTGCAGGGAAGAGTACTTAATAGAATTCAACACTCAGCTCAAAGACCTAAACACGAAAACTCTAATACTTGAAATGGGACATATTCTTTAAAATCCAATACTTAAAGCAATCTTCAGAAAAGTTTACACAAACATAATTAAGATCAATATTCAAAATGTCAATTTTGGTTTTGAACAACTAATAATAAAAATAAATAAATGTAAATTTTGTTCTTATATACCTATTGTTAAAAAATGTAATTTGAAAAGACATAAATTAAGACTACTAAAACAATGAAAAACACAAGAAATTATAAATAAATCTCACATAGCATGTCTTGGATTTTATGAATATATTATAGTTATTGGAAGATATTGAAAAAGACAAAACTACATAGCATATTTGTGGATAAGGAGGTATTCTGTTTTTTTTTTAATTGTAAAGATCTCAATTTTCCAGATTACAAATTCATAATTGTAGTCTAAATACAGATCCCACTCTACAGCATATGACAGAGATGGCATTGCAACATAGTGGAGAAAAAATGAACTTCTCAATAAAAATTGTAGGAGAATTGATTGTACATCCACAGAGATTAAAAAAATAAAATTAGAACATTTCATATCAAACATCAACAATGAACTCCAGGTGGATAGATTAATGTGAAAAAGCAAAAGTTTAATAAGATTCTAAAAAATACAGCCAGGTATGTTGGGGCATGTCTGTAATCCCAGCGATTCCAGAGGCTGAGCCAAAAGGATTGCAAGTTCAAGGCCAGCATCAGAAACTTAGCAAGGTCCTAAGTAACATAGTGAGACCCTGTCTCAAAATAAAAAATAAAAACGGCTGGGGATGTGGTTCAGTGGTTAAGTGCCCCTAGGTTCAATCCCCAGTACCAAAATCAAATTAAATAAAAAATATACAAGATAACTTTTGACCATGGAGTAGAGAAACTTCTTGTATAAAATAGAAAAGCAAAAACCACAAATGAATACACTGAAAAACTATATATACAACTACAASTAACATTATAATCAAATAACACTAAAAAAATGCTCTACTGGGGATGGGGTTGTGGCTCAACAGTAGAGCACTCACCTAGCATGTGCGAGGCCCTGGGTTCAATCCTCAGCACGCATAGAAATAGATGAATAAACAAAGGTATTGTGCCTAACTACAATTAAAATAAATAAATAAATAAATAAATAAAAATGTTCTACTGTATTACTAACAATAAAATGAAATTAAAACCATGACAGGATCCTACTTTACACCTACCAATTGGGCAAAAATTACAAGCATTATAATACCATACCCTGGAAGGATGTGGAACAACAGGAACCTTTTCTCACTGTTAATGAAGTATAAATTAGTAAAATAGGCCAAACACTTCTGAAAACAATCTGCATTACCTAAGAAGGTTAAAGATGTATATATCCCATGAATTAACCATCTTATTTTTTGGTTCATATAATAGAAAAATAAAACTYCAGCAATACTGATTATAATGGCAAAAAAGAGTCATGACAAAAATGTCTATCAGTGAAAAAAAGAATAAAATACTATAGGACAAGAGTATATTATTCTCTGWATATAGTATTCTATACCATAGTATATTTGTATCACTGTGTTATATTCATAACTAGATACTTGGATTACATGATGTTTCATATTGGGTATGGGGCTCAGCATAAAAGTACATATCATTCAAACACATTAAAATAGTTATAAAATAATACAAATATTGTTTACAGATAGACACACTTAATACAAATTACAAAGAAAATGAAGAGGAGTCACAGAAGGCTTTTGGTATAATGGTAATGTTCTCTCTCTTTTTTGTACTGGGGAATTGAACCCAGAGGTGCTCTACCAATGAGATATAAAGCCCTTTTTATTTTGAGACAAGGTCCCACTAGGTTGTCTAGGCTGGCCTCAAACTTGTGATCCTCTTGCCTTAGCCTACCAAGTTGCTGGGATTACAGGTATGTGCCACTGTGCCCAAATCATGTTCTATTTTCTAAAACCAGATACATGATTATTCATTGCATTTTTCTTTATGTCTTTTTGGATACATAAAATATTTCACGTGATTAAAAAAAGAAAGGGGGTTCATTAACTCTTCACTCGTAGTTTACCTTACCATACTCCAGATGAACAAAACTACAAAGCAGTGGTGATTCACAGTACAGCACAGCATGCATTAATTAAAGACTTCAATGACCCAATAAGAGGTATTTGTTAAAGCCCATGCCAAGTCACGCATGGCAGTGCATGCCTGTAATACCAGCGGCTCAGAAGACTGAGGCAGGAGGATTCTGAGTTCAAAGGCAGCTCAGCAAAAAGTGAGGCGCTAAGCAACTCAGTGAGACCCTGTCTCTAAATATAAAATAGGGCAGGGGAGTGCCCGAGTTCAATCCCCAGTGCCCCCACTACCCAAGCCCATGCCATTACTAACTCACAAAGCTAGCAATGCCAGCATATGTAACACATCAAAATGGAGCCTGTTAGGGCTGGGGTTGTGACTCAGTGGTAGAGCACTTGCCTAGCGTGTATGAGGCACTGGGTTCGATCCTCAGCACCACATAAAACTAAATCAATAAAATAAAAGTATCGTGTCCATCTACAACTAAGAAAGAAAAAAAGAAAAAAATGTAGCCAGTTAGTTGAAAAGAGAAGATTAAAGGACTCATGGTACTGGGGTTGTGGTTCAGCAGTAGAGCGCTCACCTCACATGTATGAGACCCTGGGTTCAATCCTCAGCACCACATAAAAATAAATAAGTGAAATAAAGGTATTGTGCCCAATTACAACTAAAAAATAAACATTAAAAAAAAAATGAACAAAGATTCAAAGAATGATGATCTCATTTGCTCAGAAAAGTTACAAAAAAAATTTTAAGTGAATAAAAAATTATAAAAAAACTTAAAATCTATAAAATTTGACAGAAATCATTTATGTATATATTCAGCTACTAAATATTTACTAACTGCAAGCACTAATCAAGAAGTTCTTACCTATTGAGGAGTTATTATTTACATATTGAGAGAGCAGATCTTCATCAGCTTGTTCATGCTTTTCATTAGGAGCAGAGTCTTTCTTGGAAAAGCTACTGTTGTTCTTTTTTGAAAGAGCTGTTTTACTTTCAGGCTGATCTGAAACTGGAATTTCTACTGGCTGGTAGTTAGCATGAATATATGGTTCTTCAGGAAGCATATAACCTTTACTAAAACACTCTAGCAACCATTTTGCTCCCACTACATGCGGCCTACAAAAACAGCACATAGTTATATATTAGTTTAAGCCACGAAGACCATCATCCCACTTGCCACGTAGTTCCCATAGTTGCATGGACATGCATTTTTTTTTCCCCTAATTTTATTTTGAGACAGAGTCTCGCTAAGTTGCCCAGGCTGGCCTGGAACTTGCAATCCTCCTGCCTCAGCTTCCTGAGTTGCTGGGATTATAGGTATGCACCACCATGCCCAGTTTAGACATGCAATTTTAACAAAAATCATTACACAGTAGAAATTGTTTTGAATTAAAAATTGGCAAAACCTGTGGGCTGATTTATTCCAAAACTGCTTCAATTCATCATCATAATCTCCCACAATAACATGAGTTACATCTTCATTAAGTTGATTAAAACGAACTCCACCTCCACTGTTAATAAGTCTTCTCAGTTTATCTAGCTTTCTTCCACTAAAACCACAAAGATATATCTGTAAAGAAAGAAAATATTTGTTTTAATGTACTCAAGATGCTTTATTTCTTAAGAGGAAAAAACTTCTCAAAAACATCTAAATTCATAGTGTATAATTAAGACAACTTGTGTACATTTTAGGATCCATTAAAAAATGAAGTATATTATAAAACTGATTTTTAAAATAAATTCTTTATAATCCCACAGTATTATTATATTAGTGCATAAAAATTTCTATATTCAGGTAGCTTCTTAAATTGTGAAGGTCTCACTACATGTAGGTTTTAAAGTAATTATAGAAACAATCTGTAACTGCTTGTAAATTCAGAAAATCTAGATTTAAATTCTTATTTTCAGATGCCACTGATTATAGACTTGCGGAAAGTTCCTTAAGCTGTTTTGCCAGTTTACTTACATAAAAGTTGAGGTCCTCCCTCCCCACATAGAATTGATTAAACAAAAAATAAGTGTCAAAGAGCAGAATATAATGCTTTGAAGATACTATGTATGCGATAATTGATTCTAATTTATTTTTAGGATATTCATATATTTAAGCCTATTTAATCAATATAAAAATCTTTTCTACCTCTATTTTATAAGAGATGTCTTTCTTAATTTAAATTTTTAAGGGACTGAAGTCAGGAGCATTTTACCACTGAGCTCTAACCCCAGATTTTTAATTTTGTGACAGGGTCTCACTAAGTTGCTGAAGCTGGTCTTGAATTTGCAATTCTCCTGCCTAAGCCTCCTGGGTTGCTGAGATTATTGGTGTGTGCCAGCAAGCCTGGATAAAATATCTTCTTAAGAAATTAAAAATGACAAATCTATTCCTAACTGTGTTTATATGCAAACTAAATCATCTGCATTACAAGAATCTATTTTAACAAAAATCAGGAAATATATACTTCCTATCTGTAAATCATATCTAAACTTAGTATAACACAGGCTAAAAGAATACCTAAAAAACTTCTGTTCACCAATAAGCTGGTAAGTTTTAAAAGTATAGAAGGGTAAGGTAATTTGCCCAATTTCCCTTCTTAACAATAAAATATGGCAAAATTTTGCCACTCCGTGAGAAATAACACACAGCCAAGTCATTCTACAAATAGAAATACATTAAGTAAGCATTCAGATCAAGAAAATCTGAAAAAGTAAAACATGATATAATGCTTCCCTCAAGGAACTTACAAGATAGTTATTCATACACTAAAACATTAAATAACCTAAGAAGTACTAAACAAAGTAGTGGCTTTAATGATCCATGTATGTGACTCTGAACAAGAATTTTAAGACTCTAAGTATTAACCTCGACATAATATACACCTTAAGAGTTATTTATGAGAATTAAGTCAGAATATAAACAGCATATTAACATATATAAAATGATTAGCAGTATTAATACACTGTAAACACTTAACAAATGAGTTACAAATGAAAAGTAAATAGTTCAGATAAAGCCTCAAAATACAGTAAACACAAAGATAAATGTAACTGGAAGGGTTCAGAGACAAAAAATGAAATAAACTTCAAAAAGTGAAATGAGRGTAGTTAAAAAAGAAAAAAAAAAGTGAAATGAGGGTTGGGATTGTAACTCAGTGGTAGAGCACTTGCCTAGCATGTGTAAGGCACTGGTTCAATTCTTAGCATAGCATATAAATAAAGGTCCATTCACAACTAAAAACAGATTTAAAAAAGAAAATAGTGAAATGAACTTCAAAGGATAAAGAACAAAGGTACAGGGCTGGGGATATGGCTCAGCTGGTAGAGTGCTTGCCTCGCATGTACAAGGCCTGAGTTCAATCCCCAGAACCACAAAAAACAAAAACAAAAGCAAAAAGGTACATCCCAGACAAGGGGATGAGGGGATGTTCACAACCAAGGAATGGGCATGGCAAGTGTATCTTCTGGGTTTACTAGACCATTTATACAGATAAAGAGCAAGCCCAACTATGAGGGATCTTCAAAGTTGAGCTAGGGCCAGGCACAGTGGTGCATGCCTATAATCCCTGAAAATTCAGGAGGCTAAGGCAGGAGGATCACAATTTCAAGACCAGCTTCACCCACTTACAGAGGCCCTAAGCAACTTAGCGAGACCCTGTCTCAAAAAATAAAATGAGCTGGGAATGTGGCTCAGTGGTTAAGTGCCCTGGTTTTAATCCCTGGTACCAAAAAAAAAAAAAAAAAAACAAAACAAAAAATCAAAGTCAGGCTAGGGAATGCAGAAGTATGTTATCACTTTGCATTTATTATATACTAAAGACGTACCCGGCAACCATCTAATAAATCTTCAGGTGCTTGAAATGCACTGACATCCAGATTTTCTAGACTGTCAAGCGAAGACTCCAATTTGCTATTAAGAACTGAACTGCATATTGATTCATTTATGCAACTTCCATTTATGTTTGAAATATGGCTAACATCTGAAAGAGTACGACCTACATATTAAAAAAAAACAACAAAAAAAAAGATAAGTTCCTGGAGATAAAATAATTGATTAAATATTTTCTTATAAACTAATTTTTCCTCTAATCAAAGGATTATTAACAATTCCTAAAGAATCAGGTTTTTACTGAAATCTTGTGTCAAAATATGAAGAGAAAAAAATGAAATTAAGTCTCCTACTTTATTTAAATGAAAAAATATTTAATATGTGTTCATAATCATGGTTTCTTTCCCATGAAAATGTGAACCTGCTGGCCTTAAGGTCCAAACAGCTTACATCTGAAAAAACTTTATAACAATATTTTGCCAATATGGAGCTTACAAAATAAGAGTTGTTTTAAGGTTTAGATAGATAGATAATCTATAACAATCACAGTAAAAAAAAAAAAAATTAATTCTCTTATTTTAAGTCTCCATCCATTGTGTTCTTAATGTTTTTGCATTATATTAGACTATGGAAGAAAGCAATCATTCATTCTAAAAAGAAATAGGAGTGGTTCTGAACTCATTTYTTATATAATTTGGCTATTTTATTATACCATTTTTGCCTAGGTGCATAGAGGAAAATATAAAAATTTCCTACCATATTTCAGGGATCCTATTAACAAATCTTTGCTGGGGACTGAACCCAGGTCTCCTGCATACTACATAAGCAACCTACCCCTGACCAACATCCCCAGCATGACATATCAATTCACACATGGAAAAATGATCAGACTTACTATCAATTGTATGGACTTGGCCAGTGGGAGTTGAAGTGTCAGGCATACTCTTTGTTTCTGGTCTAGGTTCCATCTTGTATATAGATTCGTCCTGACAAAAACCTTTCTCAATGCTGTCAAAAAACCATTGTGTGGTGACACAATGTACATTCCATCTCTTGGCACATTCATATTTCTGACCTGTTGTGTAGGGAAATGGAAACCATTAAAATCCGTTTTTGCAGAAATTTTCGAATTATAATAGGTAATTCAAAAATGTACCTGAAACAAAATTAAGGGTTACCAGTAATTACTCTTACTTTTCAGTATGCCAATAATGTGTTAAAAAGCAGTATTTCAGCTGGGCACTGTGGTGCATGCCTGTAATCCCAGCAACTCAGGAGGCTGAAGAAGGAGGATCATGAATTCAAAGCCAGTCTCAGCAACTTAGCAAGGCACTTAGCAACTCAGCAAGACCCTGTCTCTAAATAGGTCTGGGGTTGTGGCTCAATGGTCCAAGTGCCCTGGAGTTCAATCCCTGGTAACCCCCCCCCCAAAAAAAGGGCAGTATTTTAGGTTATTACCTAAACATATTCTTTAGGTGTTACATAAATAGAAGTGTTACATGAGGGACTTTATCTTTTAAACAAATTGCATGAAAACAATTATAACTGTGGGGCAAATGATAATACTAAATTGTTTGCACAGAGACTCCCTCAATTTCTTTCTTTCTTTTTTTTTTTTGTAGTTGTAGATGGACATAATACCTTTATTTTATTTAGTTATCTTTATGTGGTGCTGAGGATCGAATCCAGGGTCTCACATGTGCTAGGCAAGCACTCTACCATTGAGCTACAACTCCAGCTCCAGACTCCCTCAATTTTCTTAAACCGGTTTCTTAATCTATAAAATGGGAATACTAAGAATTACTATGTGGCTTTTTAACAAGAATGTATCAGACAACTGGGAAAATTATAAATGTATGCAAATTAATAAATACCAACTTTGAATTGAATAGACTATTCCAGTACTGACAGGATTTTACTTAAAGTCAAGGAGAAGCAGATACATGTTACGTATATACCTTTTTATTACCTTAAAAAACTTTAACACAATATATTTTAAAACAGCATCCCAGAAAAACAAAGGTCAATACCTAACATTAGAGTCACCACATGAACTTCCTTCTAATTCATGAGGAGGCAGCAGTATCAACTCTCCTCACAAGCGCTCCACAGCTGCCATACCCAAAGTTCTGAAAACTACCAATTAATCTTAATGCTTTTTCTCAAATTTTTTTCCTATCTATTTAGCCTAAACAGAGTACAAATATAAAGAGATAAAGCTGAGTACAGTGGTGCACACCTGTAATTCCAGCCATCTCAAGAGACTGAGGCAGGAAGAGCACACGTTTGAGGTKAGCCTGGGCAACTTAGTGAGATTCTCAAAATAAAAAATAAAAACAGGCTGGGGATGTAGCTCAGTGGCAGATCACTCCTGGGTTAAATCCCTTGTGCCACAAAAAAATAAACGAACAAAAAACACATTAACAAAACTCTTCTCCATTCATTTGTACATATTTTTAAAGTAYTAGTAAAAAATGTTCTCCAGAATAGAATGGGGGAGGTAGGAGGGTAAGAGGGTTAAAAAAAATTCTCCAGGATAAATATAAAGGTTACAGAATATAAAAATTAATGTAAGTTTAAAAATTTCTTCCTATAAGTAATTRAGTAATGTTTTTTATTCTTTAAACTGCCTCATCATCTGCAAGATATATCTTTTTTTTTACCCCCCCAATACTGGGACTTGAACCCATAGTCACTCTGCCACTAAGCTACATTCTCAGATTTTTGTTTATTTTTTATTTTGAGATGGCGTCTTGTCATTCAAACTTGAGATCCTCCTGTCTTAGTTTCCCGAATAGCCAGAAATATAGGTGTACATTACCATACTCAGCCACCAGGTATTTAAGATACCTGGGGCTGTACCTCAATGGCAAAGGACTTGCCTAGCACAAGTGAGGCACTAGGTTCGATCCTCAGGACCACATAAAAATAAATTTAAAAAAATAAATAAAAGTATGAGGGGGAGCAAACTAGATCAGTGACATCAGAARCAAAGCCTGTTTTAAAAGATTGTAAAACATGAGATATTAGAGAAAATTGTGAATTTGTCCATTTATAAAAGTTTTACCTTTCGGTTCTTGCACAATGAGGTGTGTACACTCATTCATTTTCAACTGTCCCATGTATTGGCCTCCATGCTTAATGGTGAGTTGCTGGACTGCCCTCCTGTCTAAGCCACACAAGCCTGTCACACAGATTATGCAACCAAGAAAAATAGGGCACTTGAAATCTTCCATGTTCACATCAGTATATCTAGTTATTTTTCTGGAGAAATTAAATGGTAAAAAGTAATAAAAATGAATATATTAAATATACCAGGTAGTTTTATATTTACTAGGAGCACAACGACAAACAGAAATATCACCTTTCCTCATTTTAGAATTTATAATCATTTTAAGAAAGGGAGAACTGACAAATACTTTAGAATTATACTAACTGCTCATCTAGCTCCATACATATTACTGATTAAAAAGTGATGTTTTTAGCTACTGTCTGTATTAAGAGAAAAATATGTATTTCAGTACTCTTAAACCCTTGCTAGTCAAAGTGGTACATTTTCCAAAATTAAATGCCAAAAACACTACTTAAAAACCCTAAAGTTTGGATGGGGATATAGCTCAGCTGGTTGAGTGCTTGCCTCACATGCACAAGGCCCTGGGTATTCAATCCCCAGCACCATACACACATACAAAAAAAGCCAGGTATGAAGATGTGAGGAAAAAAAAAAAAATAGTGTTACCTTAGATTAGGTAGAGAGAAGTGATGGGAGGGGAGGGGAGGGGGGATAGGAAAGATAGAATRAAATAGACATTATTATTACCGTGTGTATATATGTGAATGCATGACCAATATGATTCTGCAACCTGTACACTCAGAAAAATGAGAAATTATATCCCATTTGATTCAAATGAATGATATATCAAAGTCATTGTACTGTCATGTATAACTAATTAAACAAATTAAAAAATTTAAAAAAAAAAGCCAAAACAAACCTAAAGTTATTTGGCTGTCTATGATAAAATGGACTTTTAAATTCTATTATTCAATATAAGTAAAACAATTATTTTTGGCAGAATAGCAACAAAAACATCATTATTATTCTGTTGTCACGCCAGGCAAATGGACTGGGAATGCAGGAACTGACATGGAGACATATTTAGATGTGCTGGATGATGTTGAAAACAATCCCAGAAAAATGCCAATATAATTCTGTGGTGCCTGGGCTTACAGTTGTTAATTTAATTTCAGGAAAAACTTGCATGCTTCCTGAAACTGGCTCCCAAGGGAAGGGACACATCCTGCTCCCGAAATCTAATGTCTCACGCAGRCCAGATGTGCAAAGGATCAATTTACCTTTACTGAGTGATCACACCTTCTGATGGCTTACACATACCTCCTCTAGGAGGGACTAAAACTACCTAAATATTTCATTTATTCTCAGTCTTAACATATGGGCACAGTAATGAAGGAAAATGCAACAAAAAAGCTACAAAGTTACCAAACTGATTTTCTCAGTTTAGAAATATTTGCTGYGGAAAACAACTTTAGTATCAAAGCATTTACATTCTACTAGTGTTAAACCCACAGCCCATTTTACTCAACTTATACCCTGATAACAATCCCCTGTAGATTCTCCTAGTTTCCACTGGAGAAAAGAGTAATGACCCCATTTCCCTGAATAACAAATCTAAAGAGGATGCCATAAAGCTCCCCTTTAAAAATACAGAGCACCCCAAAATAATTGAATGCATCAGTTTTTCAAAATCTTGAAAATACATAGTGTTTGTCTTACTTCTCTTGTGACTTTTCCCAAAGTGTTTTTATCCAAGAAGGAAGCAAAATAGGTTTCTTCAGATTTGCAGCAACTAAATATTTTTTGCTACCAACTTCTCCTGCAATAAGGTGAGTTACTGATATATTAAGGTCTCTGTATACTCGTCCACCCATCATTTGTACATACTTATGAACTTCATCCTGCAGCCCCAAAAGAAAATATGTTAATATAAGAGCGAATATTAGCTCTTCCATTTTTATACAATATACCATAAATACCTTTGTTATTGATAACCTGAATACATAAGTGTTTCTTACTTTATAAAGTCAAATAATTAACTTACATTTAGAAGATGAATACAAATTATAAATTTAAAATAACCATTTTCACTAGGTGTGGTAATGTACACCTATACTTCTAGCTACTTGGGAGACCAAGGCAAGATCACAAGTTCAAGGCCAGTCTCAGCAACTCAGCGAGACCCTGTCTCAGAAAGGGTTAATGGTAGAGCATCCCTGGGTTCAACGTCTAGTACAAAAACAATAAAATTCTATTTCCGTGAACAGTCACACACTGTATGATGATGTTTTGGTCAACAACAGACACATATTCAATAGTGTGGGCTTATAAGATTGTACTGCCTCATGACATTATAGCCATTAAGTTTGTATAAGTATTCCCAATGATATAATTACCTAAGGACACATTTCGGACTATATTYCCACTGTTAAGCAACAAATGATTGTATTTACTCTTTTCAACTCCATGAATTTATTAAACTATGTTGCTCCTATAATAAACATTACATTCTACATGCTTATACACATCATTTTAAAAGTATAAATTATATCCATGTAAAAAAATAAAAAATATTTTACACAGTTCTTAGAATCCTGCCTTAAAGATTATCCATCTATGATGAAAAAATATTAAGTAAACATTAGTTTCCTTAGTAAAGAAATTCACTAAGGAAAAAAATGAGATTTGTTTTAGTTGCTACAAATCTGTGAACATTATGGACACCTACCCTTTTTTCTTTATCCAGGCTTGTACAAGATACAGTTACATCAGACATTACCATATTATAAACAGGATGTTCAGCTCTTGGGACACATCGTTGGTGATGCATGCAAAATATGACTACTTGAGGACCAACAATTCTGCAGCCAAGCTATAAAAAAAGAGAAGGTTTTGTGAGCTGAGAAGGAAAAGACCACCCATCTTACAAAATTACATTTGGTAATATTTACCAATTATTTAYAAAAGTTGATGACTATTGCAGAAAAACCACCAAATTTTAGAAAAAAATCATGACCATTATATAATTTCTGAGACACACTATACACTAAGTAAATAGGCAGATATAAAACCCAAATAAACAATACAAGTCAAAAGAAAAAGCCTCCAGGAGACCTTCACTCAAAACTGCTATCAAAATTTTAATCTCTGAAATATAATCTTAATACAATAATCTTATAACAACTAGGAAACGTCTACATATGCTTTTCAAATGAAGCACTAAGCCAATGAAGCAATTTCAGAGTGTAARAGCCTATAATAATCCTAAGAAATCCACTATCACAAAAAATGAACAACACTAGGCAATTTCTACATTGGGTTTTATATACTTTGTACCTCAACATCCTTTCAAGGAAGAACCACAAAGATTTACACTTAAAAAAAAAAAAAAAACAAAAAAAACTGCATTTTTCAAAGATATTGAGTTCATAGAGTTGACAAGTCTTGCTCAACAACATACTCAAGTCACATTAAAAAAGCCTACTGTTGCCAAAGTCATCACTGCATGACTGATTTAAATATCTACAGAAAAAGCATTAGCACTATCTTTTTTCTTTGGGTACTAGAGATTGAACCCAGAGGTGCTTAACCATTGAGCCACATCCCCAGCCCTTTTTAAAATAATTTTTTTGAGAAGATCTYGTTAAGTTGCTCAGAGCCTTGCCAAGTTGACAAAGCTGGCTTTGAATTTATGATCCTCCTGCCTTAGCCTCCTGAGTTGCTGCAATTAGGTGTGTGCCATGGCACCTGGCTGATGTTACTAATTTCTACCTGATGAATAGTGGTTTTTCCAAAGGAGACTAACAGCAACAGTGCTCTGGGCGAGATGTGCACTGACCTTCCATAAATGGCACAGATACTGCATCGACCTACTCTTCTATGTTTTCTTCTTCAAACAAAAATCATATCGTTGTAATCTGGATGAAATCACAGCCAGTTTAATTTTATTTCAATGCTTGTCTCTTGTCCAGACACCAAAAGGTAATGAGTCAGTAGACTTTAGAATAACAACGAAAAAAAATAAGATGGCTCATTGGTATGTTAGCAGTAGTAATACCCAAAATGCTCCCTTCTAAGATAATTTATCAAACTCAGTACAGGGTAGAGGTACTAAAATTCTATGTGCACGAGCGCACAGAGAAGATAGGAAGTTACCACACATTCTATTGGGATCTTTTCCTACTCTACTATTTTCCCCTAAATGTTTTGCAACCTAAATTTTTAGCACAATAAGCTCTATCACTGAAATTCTTCATTACTTTAGATTTGCTTATACTAACTGAAGCTATATTCCCCTTAAAAACAAAAACTACATATAATAAAAGACTACAATAACAAAATTAGCCTTTAAAAAACATTATTCTGGTCTCCCAAACCAAAATAATACCAATGTATTTATGATTTGCATAATACTTCATAATCAGTAAAGAATTTATGAAGCAAAAACAAACCAAAAACCATCTACCATATAAGTCAGCAAACCTTTTTAAGGTGATCGAAAACAGCACCACTAAAAGGGTCACAAATATAAAGTGATCTGTCATTCTCCTTTATCTTCAATGCCTCTTCTTCTGTAATAATCTGAAGATATTCTTCTGATTGGAATTCTTTTATAGACTAAAAGAAAAAAGTAAAAAAGAATAAACCCCAAGTCAGCCCCCTGTATTTAAGTCCTACCAAGTCTTTGAAATCCACCTCAAACTACCTTTTCTTTATAGACAGCAACTATCATCTCTCACCTAGACCACTGCAGAAGCCTCCCAAGTGGTTTTTCTCTCCTTCCTTCAGTATAAATCTACTCTGCACACAGCAATTAGTAATCTTTTAAAAAAGACAAATTAGATCATATTACGTTCTGCTCAAAACCCTCTAATAACTTCCCATCACACTCAGGATAAAATCCTCGTTCCTTACCACAGCCTACAGGACCACCTGATCCTGCCCTAGCCTATCTCCCCACACTCATCTCCTACCTCCAATCTCCCTGGCTTGCTCTTGGCACACCCACTTCCTTGCTAAGCTAAAAAAGGCTAAGCATGACCCCATTTAGACTTAGCTTATACCTGCAGCAGAGAATATTCTTCTGCCAGGTCTTCACCTGACATGATTCCTCACTTCAGTCAGGTCTGCTTAAACGCCACCTCCTTATAGATGYTTTCCTAATCATACTTTTTCTTTTTGGTGCTGAGTATTGAACCCAGGACCTTGCACATGTTAGGCAAAAACACTCTACCCATTGAGTTACATTCCCAGCCTCCTGATCATACTTTTTAAAATATCCTTCCTCCATCCCTTTAGTCTATTTTATGAAGAAAAATAACATTGATATTTTATGAATGCATGTATTTCTTGTCTTGCTTTTAAGAATGTAAGTTTCATGACGTATCTTGTTGCCACCATATTCTGAGCTCTCTTTCCCATTTTCATTTCCTTCTCCTCCCCAAAATATCCTCTAGAACTCCTTAACCTGTTTTGCTTTTCTTCTCTTCCCATATCAATCAATATCTTATAATATATTATGTAGTTTTCTCATTTATCATCTGATTCATATTTATTTCCTGCTGCTAGAATGTAAGCTCTGAGAGAGGAGAAATCTTTCCTTACTCTTGACCACTGATGTATTCCAACTCCTAGATCAGATCATAGACACTTGATAAATATTTGCTGAATCAATGTACTTTATGGAAAACCCTGGTACAACTGCCTATCAAACTTTAATGTGTACTGAAGGATGTTGTTTAAAATGTGAATTCTAATTTCAAGTCCTGGTTTGGGGGCCCCTATTTTTTGCAGTATGGGGAATTGGACCCAGGACCTCACACATGCTAGGTAAGTAGTCTTAACTATATCCATATCCAAGCTATATCCATAACTCTTTTTGGTTTTTAATTTTGAGATTTTAATTTTAATTATGGGATGGCACTAAGTTGCTTAGGCTAGCCTTGAACTTGTGATCCTGCTGACTCAGCCTTTAAAGTGGCTGGGATTATAGGTGTGCATTACCACATCTATTTTAAGATTCTACATTTCTAAAGAGTCCTAGGCCAATGCCAATGCTGCTAGGATCTGTGAGCAGCAAGGCTCTGTACCATCCTATTTTATACAGTGCACAAAGAAACATACTTTTAACAACCAAAACTACTGAAGTGTGAACAGTATAGGACTCAATTTTTTTTTCAACTCGCAAGAGACCACTCTGATTAGTAGACAAAAGAAATCTTATTAACTTTTAAGAACTTCGGTTAACCATATCCAACCAAAATGTCATAATATATTTCAAGCTCACCAAAATGCACAGATAATACTTACATCGATTCAAAATTACACAGCAATGATTTGTCTATAGTAGCACAGACTGTAGCAAAACTATGCAGAAATTATTTCTAAGACATAAAGCCTAACAGATCAAAAATACTTAAAAACAAGCAAATGAATTCACAGCATCAGACAAATCTTTTTCAACTATTCTTACCTCAAGAGCTTTAAAAAAACATTCGGAATTTTCTGAAGACTTTAAAAACTTCACAAAAAACGGTTCTTTGTCATTTCTGGACATTTTTGAACTGTCAAAATAAAGGAACCATTAACAAGAACAAAAATGCATTGTGTAGAAGTTAAAATGTTCAACGCACCTATTATTTTTTTTTCTGTGCAGACAAGAATGCCTAAGGATAGACATTCAGGCCTTGCTCATGAATTCGTCCATAATGTTTGCAAGAAACCCTGGAATGTGGGCGAAGTCAAGGAAAAAGATGACACACTAATCTTGCAAATCCGAAAAGGAAATTAATGTCCCTCAACTGAATACAGTCAGGGCCAATGGACATTCAAATGCACTTGGCTTAAGGATACACAGATCGCATCTGTGGCTGCTGATACCCACGGCCCGCGAGGTTTGTTCATCCCTAAGTAAATAGATTTTTTAAATATAAACCTGGCAGCCAGCTGACAGGTCGTGCCTCCMAAAAGGTTGGATGCTCCTGCTCCCCAGCTCCCAGACAAAGGCCTTGCTAGAACACCGTAGCCTCGTTCTTTCTGGCGTCAAAGGCCCACCCGCGGGTCCCAGGGCCGGTTACAAGGGCGGGAAACCACGGTCCCCCACGAAGGCCGCAGGAGAGGTCGCGACCCCCGGCTGCGGCGGGGAGGAGCTGGGTCCTCACTCACCTCGATGGAGCCTGGGGGTCTTCGGGAAGTGAGTTGGGGGGCGCACAGCCCGCAGGACAGCGGCTGGGGTCGGGCGCCAGCCCGGCGCACAGCCCCCACCGCCACCGGGCGGCGCCCCCAGGCCCAAGCAAAAGCTGGAGAACCCGGAAATTGCAGAGACTAGGAAYCGACTTTCGCGCCAACCGCGCGGACGCGCTACCTCTTCCGGCGGAAGTGACGCCATCGGCGTCTGGACYGGAGGGCGGGATCTTTGAGGTGGGAGTAGGCGGTCCACAGACCGAGCGGCTCGCGGGAAGGTTGGGCCTGTTTCGCGGTTTATTAAGGCTTAGAAGGGCTACCTGGCTCCGGGGCTGGAGTCGCAGGCCAGGAAAGGTCCTGCACGTTCAAAATAATCCAGGGGCACAGGGAGTTCCTCTTCCTGGTGCAGGCAGTGTAGCAGAAACCCTATATTAACCAAAACATGTTTTTGGTGTGATTTGATAATTCAATTTACCAAAGCAAGTCGTCCCATCTCCACTTTAGAGAGGTACGAAAGCGAGGCCTAAGAGAAGTTGAGTGCCAACYCTTTTTATTATTACTATTATTTATTATTTTGAGACAGGGTGTCACTAAGTTGCCCAGGCTGGCCTTGAATTTGCAAATCTGCGTCAGCCTCCACAGGGTCTGGGATCCCAGGTGTAAGCCATGGTGCCTGGCTCTGCTAATCTGCTTTCAACCCCTTCCTAGAAAAACCTGTCAGTTGCCTCCTATCTGTTCAAGGTCACACAGCTAGTAAATGGTAGAATTAAGTTTGCATCCAGGGCTTCCAGACTCCACCGCCTGGGTGGTGGGCTGGGGCTGGGGCTCAAGTGGTAGCGCCCTCGCCTGGCATGTGTGAGGCACTGGGTTTGATTCTCAGCACCACATAAAAATAAAATAAAGATATTGGGTCCACCTAAAAATACATACATATATATGATATATATTATATAGATTATRTATARTATATATGTTATATATATACACACACACATAGATTATATATATATGAATCTTATCACTGGCTATCATAGCCAGCAGGTCTGAAGGAAAGAAAGTCAGCGGGATGTCCTGAATGGCTGGGCTAATACCTAGGGATCTGCTGGTTTCTGCCTCTTGACCCATTCAGTGGATATCCCCATTCTCTTTATCTGCATCTGCCTGTGTATTGGGGGATTTGGGGATGGAACCTAATGTTCAAATGGCAAAGAGCAGGCAGAAAGAGGTTAAAATGGGCCTGTAAAACCTCATCCCATTGAAAGCCAAAGATAAACGGCTTAATGTGTCTTCTCATTTTATTCTTGAATTTTGAAACAGAAAATGACTTTAGATTGAATAATGCATTCAATGCTATGTACCTTGATTGTTTTTCTTTTTAAAGCCTAAAGATGGTAATGAGCAGGCTGGGTGTGAGTGTGCACATACACCCATGGGAGGTGACAGATTCTTTGCTTGGCCAAAGTTTAGTCAGGCTACTGAAACTTCTCCTGGGTTTGTCAGTGAACTTCCTTGTAAAATCAGGTCAGACTTCTCTGTCCTTGATATATGATCAAATTCCCCATCCTCCGACATCCCCAGGTGATGTTTGGTCTCTCTGGCCTGTCTTCAGCAAGAATCCTGTTGGGTTGGTTTAGCCAGAGTCCCCCTTACTCTTGATGTCACCTCTTAGAAGATTACTAAGACTTAATTACTAAATTATTAGCCAAAGACCCCCTATTCTGATCTTTGGCTAAAATTACCACTTGTCACACTGTGTTCAGTTGAACCCAGAGTCTTCTCCAATGCAAAATCCCATTGCCATGGTTGCTGGTGACTGTACTTATCCTGTTGATCCTGAATAAAGTCTGCTGTGCTGTGCTTTAATAAGTATCATTGATTTTTTTTTTCCTTTAACAAAGGTGAGTAAGAATCAGTAACACCGWAGCTCAAAGGTAGATACCTGTTGTTGGGGGAGTGGAGAAGGAAAGCCTTAAGAACAAACCTACTAGAGCTGGGTGCAGTGGCTCATGCCTATAATCCCAGCAGTAGGGGAGGCTGAGGCAGGAGGATCACAAGTTCAAGGCCAGCCTCAGCAACTTAGGCCCTGAGCAACTTAAGACTTTGTCTGAAAGGGCTGAGGATATGGCTCAGTGGTAAAAGCACCTCTGGGTTCAATCCTCAGTGCCAAAAAACAAAAAACCACTAGAATTACATGAAAAAAAMCACAATTCATTGTCAACATGCAAATCTGCCCTGAAGCTGTCATAATAATACCTCTGGGTACTTCATAGTTGACAAAGGACTCCTGTTTGCATTACTCCCATTCACTCTTCTCAGCAACCCTACAGTATGGTGACATAGATGAGGTGAGTGAAGCCCTCCTGACACAGCACGTGGCCCCTGTCACATGTGGCCTGCCCATCTCTACATGAAGGTCAGCACTGGGACAGGAGCCTTCCTGGCACTCCTGGGGCCAACTAGAGACCTCAAGGGATGATATTCACAGGTGCTGCTAATGAAGGGGAGGAAACTAAACCCCGCCCCTTGGCTTGTAGTCAACATGAGCTTCCTAACAGGGGAGTTAAGCTGATCTTTGGAACAGAGCACCAGCAGGGGACAGGTTCTCCCTTTTTATGTCTGCAGATAGAGTGGGAATCTGCCTCCTGAGTAAAAGAGCAGTGGTCCTCAGGAGTGGTCTCTAGACCAGCAGCATCAACACCACCTGAGGATCTGTGCAAGTGCAAATTCCTGAGCCTGAGCTCAGACCTGCGGGCCCCAGCATTGTGTCCTAACAAACCCTCCAGTTGGTTCTGATGCACCATGAAGTTGACTTAAATAGCAGTCCTTTGGGGAAAGGTGAAAAGTGGTTATATAAGTTTGTGATCCATAAAGATTTTGGTGAAAATACGAAATGGTTATAATGTGCCCCGGGAAGCTGGAGCTTTTTCTCTCACCTCCTTGAAACTTAGGGTCACGTCCTTGTTCCTCTGACATTTCTGTTCTTTTATATATATATATATATATATATATATATATATATTAGTTGTTGCTAGAGCTTATTTTATTTATTTACATGCACTGCTGAGAATCGAACCCAGTGCCACACTCATGCCAGACAAGGGCACTATCACTGAGCCCCAGCCCCAACATTTCTGTTATTTAGAGCCAAGTACTCCAGACTCAGCTTGAGGTGCAATTAAAGGAATTTTATATTCATCTACCTATAAAAGGATACAAACACAGGGAACAAATATGACAAAATAGTTATTTTAAAAATATGAGTGAAGTGAGCCAGCTGCAATGGCACATCCCCATAATCTCTGTGACTGGCAAAGCTGAGGCAGGAGGAACACAGGTTCAAGGCCAGCCTCAGCAAGACCCTGTCTCAAAATGCCCTCTATCACCACTTCTATTCTTTATAGTTCTTGAAACACTGGCCAGAGCAATTAGACAGACAAAAGAAATTAAAGGCATAAAAATAGGAAAAGAAGAACTTAAATTATCACTATTTGTGGATGACATGATTCTATATCTAGAAGACCCAAAAGGGTCTACA